GTCGCCCCGCGTGAGCCGCTGCCTTTCACCGCTTTAACCCCCGGCGGAAGCGGGATGGGCCTGGCGTGGGGCCGCCTGGCCTCGCCGTGCCGCCGTACGGTCTTTTGGCTGCCCCGGCGCCGGGACGCGCCGCGCGTTCGTGTTCACCCGTCCGGCCTTCCCCGGCCTCTAAACCAGCGGCTTTCTCTCCGGGGCAGCCGCGGTGCCAGGAATACCTGGGATGTGAGAAGAAGAGTTTGTTCCTCTGTAAATAAACGCGCCTTCCTTTCCCCCAGGCATGAGGTGTGTGCTGAGCCTTTGCTGGTGTGCGTGGGCCTGCTGCAAGGATTGCCTGCTGCCGCCGAGTGTCAGGCAGTTCCTTGTCATAAATGCCGTCTCTGGCACATGTCCTTGCAAAAACTTGTTCTCTTCAGCCGCTCTTTTTGCACTGTTGGAAACTGTATTTGCGCTCGTAGGAAGCTAGATCTCTGGAAACTCGTCATGGGAATGTTTAGACACCTTGTGCTGTAGGCTGTAGTAGTGTCTCTGAGAAATATCGGGCTGCTAAGCTTCAGGCCAAGCCTCCGTGCTCATATTGAAGCAGTATGGCTCAGCTGCCGTCGTTTCAGGTCAGGAGTCGGATGGGCTGTTGTCTGCAGGGTGAACGGATGTTGTAGTGTAGTGCAAAGGCCCCGCATTTAGAACAGACTTTGCTGCTGCATCTCACGGTTTGAGTCTAAGAATGCTCTTCCCTTTTGATCCTACTTGATTCTTCAAGCTCCCAACATGTGGATCTTCCCAGATAATCAGAAAGACCCTCTCTATTTCAAGGTGCTCACTAACGAAGGATAAACAAGCAGATATATGAGGTCTGGGGAACGTTGTTATCAGTTGTGTTTTCACATTAGATGAGTTTATAGCAAGCAGTAAATTGCAGCTTTATTGTAGAAGGAGGGGCCCAGTATGTGACCTTGCAGAGGTTTAAGGTGACCAGCATGGAAGCAATAGTGGAGAAATGATCAGTGTGGGAATGTTGTCAAAGCAGAGGAGACAAGTTGACCATGCGGGGCTGAGTAGAAAGAAACTGAGTTACCTGGGATTTCAAATGTGGTCAGAGGAACCTGAAGTTTGAGACAGGAAAGATGGAGGAAGTGAAAGGGGGGACTGATGTGGTGGATGTGAAAAAAAAACCCCAAAACTTGAGAATCTTTGAAGGCTGAGAGGGATTTTACATGTGGTTGGGAGGGATGGTTGTTGCAGAGTTAAGGATAGGCTACAGCAAGAGTCAGGCTGTGTCAGAGACTTGTGTGCGAGGCAAAGGCTGGCTTCTGGAGGTGACAAAGAGGGAGCATTGGCAGCATTTGGTATAGCCTAAATGTGCAGGACAAGGAAGTGGCAGGAATCAAGAGCAGTCTGGAGTGGCACTGATGTTGTTACTTGTGGCAAGAAAAACCACAAACAGGATAGGAGTCCAGCCTTGGCCTTGTGAACTTGACCATTTATTTCTAAGCATCCAGGCTGTGAGCATTATTGGAGAATGTGAAGGTACTGCTGAAGTGCTCAGGCTTCTTTTGTGATTGTTGCCCTGTTAGGAGTCAGCAGGAGGTGGGTTTGATTCTTTTCTTTCTCCGTGTGCACCACGTAAAATTGAAGGGAGCTGCCAAGCCGTGCAACTGTTCTTTGGGTTGAGGATTTAACTGATTCCCCTTCCGCCATAGCTGATAGCTCCTCAAGTCAAGTGCAAGATCCTGTCATACCTTTGGAAGTTACTGTATAAACTCAAAGTTACCCCTTTTGAAAGAGGGAAATGCGACTGAGTGAGTAGCTGCATGAACTGCTAACTTTGCTCTCCCTTTTCTTCCAGATACCTTCTTGAACAGCGAGACGTGGAAATTAATGTCCGTGATAAATGGGACAGTACACCCCTGTGAGTCCTGCAGCCTAGAGCGCTGGCTCGGCGGGAGGGAAGGGCTTTCAGAGCTCCTTTGCTTTTTCTGCATCAACAGTTAGGAGCGCTGTTACAAAACATCTCAGGTTCTGCTTTTTGGGAGATTTGGCTACATGTTTCTGCTTCTCTTCTGTGCGGGTGCCATGCTAAATACGTCTTTGTCTCCCTGTCTGATTGATGCTTGCTGTAGTAGCTCAGAAGGGTGGTTAATTTTGTGACCAGGTTACCTGGATTAAGCAGTCTGTTCTTGACCTGATTAGACTTTTTCCTCCTCGAAGTCTGTGGCATTCTAACATGTCTTTTCAGGTGAAGGCTTGGCTTGGTAAAATGCAAGGTGACTGTGGGATCATAGTCTGTCTGGCAAAGCTGTGAATGTGCAGTAGGTAGTGAGGAATCCCCATGCTGGTGCTGAGGAGGGTGGTGTGAGCTTGTTACCTCCCCATATAGCAATTCCAAAGTGCATTCAGACATCTACAATACATTTGGAGTACGGAATAATTTCTCAAAGTAAGGGTAGACTAACATTTGCCTGCTGCAATTCTTGTTACAGGATTCATCTAGTTTGTAGGACAGTTTGAGGTCCTTGTGAGAGAGAATCATGAAAGGCTTAGATTGTGAAAGAGAAAACGAAACTCAATGTAAGTAGGGCCTCGAGGGGTGGATTTGCTGTACATCTGGTGTGGGTCCTGTTCCCTCACTATTATAGTGTGGAGCAGTCAGACTGACAACAGAAGGAGCAAGGAGTGTTTTTGAGAATTCAGTGGAGTTGTTGAGTGCCCATGAAATGAACTCCATTAAAATGAGGATGGATTTGGCAGCTGGTGATACAACAGAAGATGCCGAACACAGATTGGGACCTTGAGATCTCCTTGCAGGACAGCAGCGCCTAGGAGTGCTGGGAACAGATCCTCCTTAGTCTATTTATTGTTGGGGTCAGACTTCTCTGCTGCTTGATAGCAGTCCCACACTCCTGTGAGGAGTTGTCTTCTGAGCTCATCAGGGATGGCTCTGTGCTGAAGTCTGCTTGCTGTGGTGTGCCCAAACACTGAATTTTTCTTCCTACTGTATCTCTAATTTTCTTTCTCTTGTTATTGTCAGGTATTATGCTTGCCTCTGCGGACATGAGGAGCTTGTACGCTATCTTCTAGCCAATGGTGAGTAAAAGTGTCCTGGATATGGATGCAGTATTTTTCTCTGTATTGGTCTGTAGGGATTGCGTATCCTTCTAGCTGTTCCTTGTGGAAACTTCTTCTGTTACAACCAACCATCCGATCAGCGATCTCAGGCTGCAGTGGGAACTCTGGACATGCTTTCATGGTCCCTTTTGTAGACCGTTTGCTGCTTGAATTCGCTACAGGGAAGCTTTCTGTTATAACTGAGGGCAGCATGACTTTCTGAAATCACAGCTGATGTTTTGCAAGGGTGCGTTGCTGTTGAGAGTATGATGATGTAAGATTTGTACTTCATCTGAAGAGCTATCTGTGTAAAACTTTCTTGTACTCTTCTGGTAACCTTGCTTTGTAAACAGGATTAAAGGTGCAGTGCAAGGGCTTTTACTAACCTCAGACAAAGCAAGACAAACTATCCAGGTAAAGTGTCTGCCCATTTGGTTCCCAGCACCCAAATTCTCTTAGGTAGTGATGATGTTCTGTGTTCTGGCAGAGGAATGGGAGTGCAGAGTCAGATCTTGAAAGGTTTCTCTCTTCCAGTGCATACAGAACGTCTTAATAAACCACTTACGTAATTCTAAAATAGCAAAATGCAAGTGCCCTCCAAATCTCTAGCAGAGTCTACCCTGAAGATTCATCTCTTGCCTTGTGCAAGACAGAAATGCCTTTCAGGAGGAACCATTAAAAATCCAATAAGTGATCGTACTCTTTGTACAGTGAGTTTCTTCTTCCTGGAACACTGTTGGAGCCATTATTACCAGGGTCAGTTTAAATGAGTCATGACTTCTTCAGAAAGGGATTTTGCTGTGGGAGAAGAGCTTTAGGTTATGTGCATATAAGGGGAGCATAGTTTTTGTAAACATGCTCATTAGCATAGGGGATCACAGTGAAACATGTCACCAGCCAAACACCGTACTCATTTAGTGACCATTCGGGGACGTTTGAGGAAGATGTAACTCTGCCTGCTGGCATGTACCTGTGGTCGTTCTGCAGGAGCGAAATGTGAGGCGAACACTTTTGATGGAGAACGTTGTCTGTATGGAGCTTTGAGTGATGCCATCCGACGTCTGCTGAAGGAGTACAAACAGATCACAGCAAAGTGCATGCAGAGAGACTACTATGATGTCTTCCTACAGCGGTAAGCAAATGAGGCAGCTCCATGTGTGACACGTTCTGTCATCTGTCCTTAGCTGTTAACCTGGATATTCAAGCTCTCTGTTAAGGGCAGATTTGGAAGGCAACTGATCAACACCCTCCTTCATTCCTTACATGTAGAACTTGCTAAGGGATGTTTCTTTGTGTCCTCAGAGAGGGCTTCCAGGTATGTGTGCATTTAAAATATAGCCTCCAGTGACTTGGTTACAGACTCCAGAGCCTACAGAAAGCTGGTCTTTCTAATGCAGAAACATTAGACTGTCATCCTTGACTGTCAAACCAAAATGAAATCACTAAAGCCATATCAACAATTTAGGATATGTCAAATGAAATTAAGTTTTAGGTCTGAAGTGCTATAGCCTGTGAGCTGAGGTTTCCAGCAGTGATCGTAGGTGTCTCGTTTCTGAGATAGAGCACCTTAAGAAGCCTCAAACTGACTTATAAGGACAGTGCTCAGTTCTTTCTTTTTGTTCATTAATATGTATTAATTTTAAAGATGTTTATGAAAGTTACCTGTCACTACTTTTAGTCTTAGCCTAGAGCTTGAGAAGAAGCCTAACTTGCTCTAGGAGTAGAGGAATAGTGTCAATCTTTTCTTCTTGCTGTTTTTCTACCCTGATAGTTTTGATGTTATTACATAGACTTCCCTGTGCCGCCCCCCACCCCAAATTGGGCTGACTTGAAAAACCAAACAAACAAGATTTCAGCATCTGTATCTTCAAAATCGGAGAGCAAATAAGTCTTAAAAATCTGACAACCTTCCCATTACTGCAGAGTCCTAATTGCTGAAGCTGTGGGGAAAGAAGAGGAAGGAAACTCATTTATCTGAGTAAAATCAGATTCTGCCTTTCAGGGAAGTAGAATTTTGCAGGCTGATTTATCACTGCCCCGCTGAGTTTGTGGCTCAGATGATGCAGGGTTGAGCGCCCGTGAAAACTAAAATGAGCTGTTTTCCATTTCTTGTTCCAAACAGACCTTGTGTTAAAATTGAAACAAAAAGCAACAGTAGGGGGCAAAAAATAAACACCTCACTGCTTCAGTTTTCTTTTGGGCAAGACACTAGTAGGAAGGATGTTCTAGCAGCAGGAGATTGAGATCAGCATTCAAGATCCTGCACTGGCATCATCTGCTTGTGTGACCCCACACTTTTCCGAGCACCAGTCCTGCTCTCTAGGAGTATGATGCCTGATGTTTGCCAGGTTTGACCTCTTGGGGATGTTTGTGAGAATATAAATGCAAGGGACGATGGGCATTAGGAAACACCGGTGATGGTTGCTGTAAACTCTAGAAGTAGCAATCTTGTTTGTTTTTTTTTTTTCTTTTTAAAGAATGAGGGTATGGGCATGCAATTGTAAACAAAGCTTCATCTCTGGTGTTGTAATTGCCTGCATTTCATGCCTGTAACATCCTTCCTTCTTCTGAGGATGAGTGACATCAAGTCCTCTCCTATTTGCTGCATGGTTAAAGTGTGCACGCTGACAGTGCCCGGAGAGCAGGAAGGTTGCACCTTACTTTGTAATGGAGTAATTCTTTTTGAAAGGTATGTGCTTCTGCAGAGCTTTTTGTTATCTGACAATTTAAAAGCAGGATTAACCTTTAGAGATGTGTTTGGGGGCAACTAGTTCCCGTTTAAAATCTGTTCCCTGTGTTCAGTGGTTCACCTGGGGCAGGAAGGTTTCATTCTCCAGCCTCGATCTTGCACTAACAAAATGAAAGAGTGAGAGATCTCAATCTATTATGTGAAGTACCAGCCCCTGTGCTGGTCTTCTGACTGGACAGGGAGAGACTGCAATGTCCAGAGGTACTTTTTTATTTAGACCTAGTTTTATGTCCCCCACTAACTTTACTCCATTCTCTTCTTTCTCATTTTTGCATGAATTTCCCCTCTCTTTGTTCCTTACAGGTTGCTGGAGCAGGGTTACCAAAGCGACATCGTTTTCATCGTCCATGGCAAATCCTTCTGCGCCCACCGCTGCATTCTCAGCGCTCGCAGCGCCTACTTTGCAGAAATGTTTGAGACCAAGTGGAAGGGGAAGAACATGATAGTGTTGAAGCATCCGCTGGTGAGCAAGGCTGTGCTTCCAGTTCTTTCCTTTATTTTACTGTTTCAAGTGGGTGAGAAAAGGGAGTAGGAAGGATGGTTTGAGGGTTAACTTCCACAGTGAATTGCTCCTGGAGCTCAAAATTGCCCTAGTCAGGGAGAGGGGCTTGTGGAGGCACTTTATGCAGTAAAATAGCATCTTATTTAGATGACAAAAGGCCATAGACTGCATACTTCTTCTTTGTTCCCTCTGTCACAAGCTCAAACCTATCTTAATTAATTGCAGTAGCAGGTAGCTGTTACCATCTGCCAGCTGCATCACGGCTCCTCTGTGGGATGAGTTGAATCTGTCTAATTCCTGGTGGACAGGTGGTCTGTTGTGAAGACATCACCTCCATAATTGGTACTAATTGAGTCTCTTTTGTTGCCTTTGCAGCAGGAACTAAACAGGCCATAAGTGCATTCCATCCATTAATCACCAATACTCTGGCATATGTTCTGTAGCTTGATTGTGGTTGTGCGAAACCTCTCATGACAAACACACTTCCAGTTTCTCAGGACATTGCTTAATGTCTCTTCTTTCTCTTTGTACCAGAACATGGCTTTCCTCTCAAATTAAGAGGAGGGGTTGGAAATGTTTACAACCAGTGAAAGACTGGATTTTACAGAGCCTGTGTTATAACTGTGTCTTTGGAGCACCTTCATTAGTCAGGTCCTGTCCCCGAGGCCATGGATTAATATCAGTTGATACATTTAAAGAACAGTGTAATCCAGGTGGAGTGGCAGCATTAGTTACACAAGGAGCAAGGAAATTGAGTGCAGTGTCTGAGTTGCTATTTAAGTGGATTTTTTTTTTTTTTATACTTGTTCAGGATCATGTTTGTATTCAGGCAAGTTTCAAGCTTGTTACAAAGTTCCTGGAAATTCTAAAGGTAACTTCTCATGTTTTATTTTAGATTAATCCGGCAGCCTTTGGCTCTCTTCTGCAGTATCTATACACAGGTAAATGACTTACTGGCTAGGGTGCGTATGCGTGGCTGGTGGGAAGGTGTCTGTGCCTCTGTCATAGCACTGTTTGGGTGGCACAGCATGCTGACAGCCGTGTTTGGGTGCATAAGTCACCAACACATCCTGTCTGCTGGTAGAAGGGGAGAATGTGAGCAATGCCCAGCTCTTCCAAGTTGTTTGTACCTTTTGCCAGTTGTTGTCCCGCTAGTAACTATACAAGTCAATTAAAAAAAAAAAATCAGCTTAGATTGATTGGTTGGATAGATGTGGATAATGTATTTTTAACTTAAGGAGGGTAAATCTGTCATCTGGGATAACAATCTCCTAAGCTGGTGAAAAGCCAGGTTCCCACATAGGACGTTTTCAGTCCGACAGACCTGAGCAGTGTGTGCTGAATGCTTAGACTACTTTCTAATATTTTTTTCTGAACAGAAGTTGGTCCTAAACCTTCTGTGAAGATGCCAAATGTTTTACTGTAGGCATGCTAAGTGCTGAACTATTTCAGGCCAGGAGGTGGTGCCAGAAAATAACTTTGTCTTCAAGGCTCTTCTCCAGCCTAGTGTTTTCAGAAATGTTCCACGTTTTCAGTGATGGTAAAAGATTCTGGGGTGACAGGTCGTGAGCCTAAAGACTTCTCTCATCCGAAGCCAGACAGCCAATGGTGGCAGTCATGCATGCTGCTGTTGTGCTGCTCCTTTTTATTTTCTGAGGGAATTAGACATCTTTTGTATAAGCCTGTTCAGTCTTTGGCCTCTTGAATGAAGCTGTTAGGATAGACACTGGAAGTCGGGAATGTGAATTAGATGCCAACTGAGATTCATCGGAGTGGTGGGGTACCAGGTCTTAGCTTCTTGGACTGAGTTGTAACTAGATGCTGAAAAGTGAGGCAGTGTGTCTAATTACTGAATTTCTGTGCCATCAAGTCTTCAATCTTTAATTTTTGCCACTTTTACACCTAAGCGGTATGGATTAAAAGAGCTGGCTGCATTTCTTCTTGGCAGGTCGTCTCGATATCGACGTAGAATATGTGAATGATTGCAAGAGGTTAGCCAAGCAGTGTCGGCTGCAGGACCTCATAGATGATTTGGAGACCAAATGTAAAAAAGTCTATGAATTTGGTAAGTGTTTTACTTGTTGTCTGTGCTGTGCCTGTGTCCTTTCAGGGGGGAAGAAGAAAGCGGGATGGTGGATGTTTCGTGGTGCCCTTGGGGCTTCCAGAACATGATTCCATTGTGAGATTCCCATGTTTGCATGATAGTCTTCAGCCATGGGCTCTCTGTAGGGCAGCTGCAGTGGTTTCTGACACATGCGTGTGTATCACTTACATTGAATGTTTTCGTTACAGTAGAGCAGCCATGGCAGCAGGACTTTGCTGTGGTTGCCAGACATTCAGTGGAGCACTGTGGGATATATTGGGAAGTGCCTTTCAGCAGAGAGCTTGTTTAAGACCCTGGACGGATAAAATATGTAGAATTAAAAGTCCTCTTCTGCATTTTTTTGACCCCTAATCTAAGTAAAATGTTTGATAATTGGCTTGAAATGGATGCAGAGAGAGATATGACACTTTTTTACAGGCAGAGAAGTATTTCTGAAAGCATGTGTGTATTTATAACACAGGTATATGCCAAACCTTAAATGACGCGATCCTCTGTTTAAGAGCTTTTTGTTATCCAAAGAGCTTGCGATCTAATCATGACATCAACTTACTGCATAAAAACCGACAGTTGGAGTTTTTCGTTCGTCTCCTTAGTTCAAGCTAAAGGACACACGAAGAAGAATCAGAACAGCACAAGTAGGGCAAAGCGGTGTTAGTCATTAAGTAAAAGAAAAAGAATCTGGTAACAAAACCTTCAGGCTGAAAACATCTGATTCTCATTTCATGCTCTGAGTTAGCTCCTTTTCTTCAGTGAAGTTAATTTTGGTTTGAGAAGAGAATCTAGTCTGTAGCTTTTAAGTCAATAGCATCTTTTTCCTTGATCTAAAAGGTAAGGGTGTAGCTATTCCACTTTTCCTTTTTGAGTTAGGAGATCTAATTATTCAGCTTCCTGAAGTTGTGGGGCTTAACAGATAGAGGCAATACTTCTGGCTCAAGAAATTCCTCATCTGCAAATCACATGGAAGATGTTACCATATGTATGTCTCCCCTTAGGCATGTGCAATATTTTGTTGGTGGTGAGGTGCTGATGGGAGTACTAGGCTTGATATTTTTTTTTTTTTGTATGACCAGTTGGATTCTAGTGAATAGATGGAGAGCTGCTGGTAGGCCTGTTAAATGTTTGTTTCTCATATCAGATCTTGTGGAAGCCAGGAAAACCTGATTCTCCAGAAAATAGTACATAGAAGAATTATAGATGTTAAAAAATGGGCAAGATTTTAGATTGCATCATGACTGGCACTTGACAAAGCATTGCTGTTCCTTCTAGTGCGTTAGGAATCTCTACTTGTTCAAAGTGTTTTCTGTGGAATAGATATCTGATTCAGGTCTGCAGAGCAGGCTCATGCCTTGCATCTGTATTATAAAGATGAAACATGCGTAATAAAACGTGAACACAAGCCTGTGCAGCTCCAGTGGATAATTGCAGTCTCTGCAATCTCATTATCTAGAGTTTATCAGCATTTCAAAAGCGCTTAGGATCTGGATGTGCACAGACAGTAGTTTAGGAAAACCCTGAAGAGGATGACCCAGTGCCTTCTGTGGCACCTGAGATAGACTTCAGTGTGAATGCTTGCATATTTTGCCCCGCATATATATGGTGGCTATAACAAGAAAAAACTGTTGCAGTGTTTGGAAGAGCTTGTCAGACAGAATTTGTCTAGGTGAAGCCATAATCCTTCCTGTGGAAGAGGAGCTATTTGAAAAGAAATGTTCTGCAGTTATTTCTACAAGTTTTAGATCAAAAAGCTTGGGAGCAAGGTTTGTGAGGCTTGCCTTCATAGCAGAGGCACTGGATATATGGAATCTGTGGTTATAGCTAATCTTGACATTGGGAAGAGGATGTATGAGGCAGGTATCTCAACATGACATCATTTTGGAAAGGTTTGGGAGTTTGGTGGAGTTTTTTGTGGCTTTTATTTTTTGTGGTGCGTTGGCTGAATTGAAACAAAAGACTACAAAGAAGTATTGAGCAGTGGAAACAAAGGCAGCCGATGAATTGGTAGGTGACGTTCAGTGCTGTGCAGCTGGGCTAGACTGGGAAGAAAGATAAAATCCTTCATTCTCCACCATAGCTGCGTTATTCCCTCCAGCTCCTTGCATTGTTTATGTTGCTCTCTTCAAAATACCCTTCATTTCTACTTCTTGCAAGAAGGTGATGGTCCCTGCTGCTTGCTTGCAGCCAACAACTTATTCCTGTTCTCTCACTTAGATTTTAATTGTTTCTGTTAGGAGGAAGTTGCTTGTGATACGGAATACTGTTCTCTTGGATTCGAGAGATGCAGTGTCTGAAATGTCTCGTGATAGATATGCTTCTCAGACAAATCACTCTTCTTTCATGTCGCTATGAAAGTCCACAGATGCTTTGTAGATCCCAAGAGAAGAACTCTCTCCCTTGACTACTGCTTAAAACTTGCTGAGTCCATTAGTGCTTACAGACCCTGATTGATTTGGCAAGTGTTGTAATAGGCACTACACAAATATAAATGATTCTCTCTGCCGTAAAAAATTTCTAATTACACATTGAGAAATTTCCTTCTCTCACGCTGGTCTGTAAGTGGACAGGCTTCTTCAGGAAAACGTGCTCAGTCTGATTTGTGTTGTTGCCAGGTCTCCTCTTTGCTAATCTACCCTGGAAGTCATCTGTTTGACGGCAGCATTTAGTGCTGACAGAGCAGCCTGTCTCCTTGCTGGTGTAGCTCCGTGTGTAGCAGTGATGGTACCTGACTGTCTCGTATTGGTGAATTATCCTTCCTAGTATCTTTCTGGGATATTCAGCCTATTTGAGGTACAGTGGTGGCATATCTGAAGAGTGCAGCAGTAACGTGGAGGAGGGGGGGAGAACTTGTTCTGTAGCACGTCGTGGTCTTGTTTCACCCACAGCCCAGTGGAGTCATCTGATGGAGCTCATGTAATGCTGTGCAAAATGTCAGGAAAAATGAGATCTCAAGGTGGTGTGATTCACCTGTGAGGGGTTTTAATGCGGTGAATCATGCCTGTCAGAAATACTTCTGAACGCTTCCGTGTGGAGCTGCTGAACTGTTTTGTCCTTGAGAGTTAACCCTGCGTCTCTCTGACTCCCAACAGCATCTTGAGCCTTCGTCACCACAACTTTGCGTTTTCCAGTGGTGCTCCATGCTTTTTTCACATGCTTCCCTATATGCCAGGGACTCTTGAATGCCTTACATGCTCCAGTCCTCACCCCAAAGCGTGCTGAGCTGAAAACAAACCTGGGGTAGTGAACTGCGGGAGAGAGGTGACAGAAAGAGGAAAGGCTGCGCTGGCAGCAGTGCTGTAACACAGTAGCTGGGTGTGCTTTGGGCTGCCGCTCGTTTGAAGTTAGGGGGGTTGGCTCTAGTGAGCTCCACAGCAACTTTGGTCGTAGCAAGATCACAAAAGTATGATCGTGTATTTTGCTTCCCCTTTATCAGCATGTTAATTGTGTGGGCTGGTAGGGCAAGACAGGAAAACGCACTAGGTCTGAAAAAGGCAAATGAAGTTGCCATCTCTGTATGGTTTGTTTGATATGTTTGGTGGTAGTGATGCTTATTTAATGTTTGTAGAGAACACAGGCACACTCAGGAGTCCAGGTGTTTCGGGGGTCTTTGTGCTTTGGGGATCTACAGGTAGAGAGTAGAGGGCAGACTTGGATGCATGGAACTTATAACCTAAAGGAGAATAAATCCCTTTGTTCCCTAGAGTGAAGTTAGGATGGCAGAGCTGAAAGGGGACCCTTGAGAGCACGTGGCCAAGCAGAGAGGCATGAAAGCAGCTTTGTTTTAACTGAATACTCCCTGGCACGGGCTTCACCTTAGATGACACTCTCAGGGTAGGGGTGGTTGCCTGGGGAAGGCACTGTATGAGTGGCTCCTGTCGGGATCAGGGGCAGACTGATCAACGATCTTCAACTATAAATGATGACAAGGATTGCAGAGAGCAAGTTGGGCTTGAAATATGCCTGCAGCAACCTTGTGTTTGCCACAGTTGTTATTCCAGCACAAGGAATTAAGTGGAGGTTTGAGGAGAGACAGCAATACCTGCATCCCCTTCCAGCCCTGCTCACCGGCTGTACTGAGGGGTGCTGGATGCTGTGTACATAGAGGAATCGCGTGTGTTTTGCAGTAAAAGCTAACCAGTAATAATACTGATTGTTCCTGGAGCCTTTCTTTTCTCTAAATGGGAGAGAATGTTTGTAGAGGAATTTAGGCATCTCTGCTCTTTTGTTTTTTTGCTTTTTCCAGTCTCTTCCAAGCCAGGGACCTGTGTGAAAGTGCTGACGATTGAACCCGCAGGTAACTGCCAGCTGCAGGAAGATCTGGCTCTCCTAGCAGACTGCGCCCTGCCAGCCGAACTGCGGGTAGGGAGCGTTTATACTACTTCTGCTCTCTGTGGCGCTGTGATATGTGTTCAGTCGCATTCTCTCCATTTTAATTGTTTGTTTGTTTGCTGATATTCCAAACACTGAAAGCCTTTTGTTGCTTGGAAATGCTATAACATTTTTTAATGAGACTGTCAGTGCTGGTCCTTACCCTTGGAATTTTCCCCCAGCAGGGATCTGGGTAGACAAAACCCTTGCCATGTGGTTGGTGGGGATTTCCCTGTTGACTACAATGGGACAAGAGTTGGCCCCCAACTCTTTTTCCTTCTCTCTGCCATCCTTCCTAAGCATCAGAAATGTTTTATCAGCAGGCATTGGTACCCAAAGGGACATATAGATGGAAGATGGCTTGCTGGGCTTGCTTACTAGGGACTGACAGCAGTGAAGAGGTGCTTTCAAATCCTGAAAATATTTCCAGCAGAAATGTGAGTCCCTCTGAAGTGAATTTAATTTGACCTGCCGTAGATTTGCTTTTCATAACTACATCTTATTGACCCTTAGAAATAGCCTGCAGACCACAGCTTGATGATCACTGTTAAAATACCACCAGTATTCTTAGGCTGAGATATGTGGGTCTTCACTCCCAATTGCAGGCGAACAGGATAAATACTGGTGGTCTTCATGCTCCTTCCATCTGTTGTTTTCTGTACTACCAGCAGATTCACTTTGCTCTTATGTCAGTCCTTCTTTTCTTCTCTGTCATACCAAGCTCTGAATTTAATAACATGAACTCATTTTAGGTGGCTGCTGTGCCCAGAGATTGTATGATTGAGTGATGTAGCAAAGTTTATTGTCTTTTTTTTTTGTCCCCTGCCAAATAACCTGCCTGGTGCAGAGAGCCTGAGTGTGTGACTGACCTGCTGGATAAGGTTTGTTACCTGTAATAAGTCAGCATGTTTTGTGCTGGCTTTTGGCAGGCGTGTTTCTCTGAGTACTGAGCACTTTCTAGAGGGAGTTTTTCTCCATCAAGCTTCCATCTACCAATGCAGAAATCTTTCCTACATAACCTACCTCCCTCAAATAACTGTGTATTTATTTATGGCTTTCAGTATACTTTTCTGTATGTTTGCAGGCTTTAAAGGAAGGTGATACCATAAGTAAGCCTCAGATTTATCTCCCCAAGAATTAAAAAAAGGATTGTAGGCCTCAACACATTGAGATTTATATAAATTTTAAGTCACTTCACAAATAAAAAGAATGCTTTCTGTTTGCTTGTTCCCAGACCTTCATGACATGTTCCTGTCGGGTTAAGCTTTTCTTCTCAAGGGTTAGAAACACTTTCCTTTTAATTCTTTCATGCAGAATAGGATCTGGAAGGAAAATATGAAACTTGGAATAATGCAATCATCTGAAAGCACTGTGAATGCCTCTGTGAGCTGTGGTATTCTTGCTGTGTTCGTAGACCAGAACAAAGGCAGTTCTAGCAGCATTAGAGTTACGCCTGTTCACTAGAGGATTTGTGTGCCATACACAGACGTGGGTGCTTTGTTTAAGCCTGATAAATTCTAAAAGATTCCCATTTTTCTCTGTCTATCTAGTTTGTTGGGGTTTTTTTGTAACTTACAAAGTATGTATGAACAAATCTCTTCATCCTATTGCCATTTATATCTCATCCTAATGTGTGCAAATTGTTAAATTCTATGAATTAGGCATCTTTGTTCTGGGACAGAGGAATCTCACATCCTCATTCTTACTGGCTTTGATGCTGTACAAGGAATAGTGTACAAACTGTGTAACCTAAAGTGTCTGAATAAATGACTGAATAGTCACGTTTACATCTGTGTTCTTGATAGAAATACACATTTTTTCCAGCTTATGCACAACAAAATAGGTATTCAGCTTCTGGATAAAAGCCAGCATTTCTTGATGGCATTTCAGGTGGTGATCTGAATTTGGCAAGAGACATTCTGAGCTGCTGCGTGTCTTGTAATGCCATATTACATGAAGTTGGGATGTATACAACTTTCTGTTTCTCTACAAACAAATAATTTGCATGTAATGTCTTTGATATTTGAATGATGCAGAAAACTCTATGCATCCTGTTTTCATGGTTCAGTAATATGCTATATGACTAAAACGATAATTAACATTTGATATCCAATCACAGTTCATTATTAGTTTTGAGTGAGAATTATGCGTTCTTTGAACTCTTACACGTTTATAATCTTGTTATCTTGTTTCTTATTCCTGTTTATACTTGAAAGCCTCTTCTCTTTCAGTGTTTGTTTTTAAAAGTGTGGTTGTTGTCTCTATTTTGTTTCAAACTAGTAATGGCCAGAATTTTTCTGACCACAACAGCTGCTGCTTTGGTTTGTTGCAATAAAATTTAGCAGTGATAGATTTAAGTAAAATACCATCAAAAGCCAGGCAACTGTCAAAAAACATGGGGCTTTTCACTGTTTGCATAGCTTTTCATCTTGTGTCTGCCAGGTGACCTCTGAGTTAAACACTCCAAAGCTTCCAGTATATGAGACTGTAGGCACATTGTTTCCTTGTAGCTGGTTTTTAATTACCTTTTGACTGAAATATTTTTTTTTCGAAATCAAGATGAAGTCATACTTAAAAGGATCAGAATTTGCTGTGAAATAAATACTCTTCTCTCCATCTGTGTTAACATTGGTATGGCTGCAAAAAAATGTGACCGTTTGTCACTTTTGGGGTAAAGCTATGTCTTGTTATGCGTAGAAAGAACAGCTGGAAAGAAGTCGATGGGTTTCCATCTTGTCTGTCTTGGCACCTGTGTAGCGTGGTTGTCCATGGCATTTATTCCTGTGCTTTGTTTTGCCCATTTGGCAGAGGCAGATAAACTGAAATCTTTATAACATGCTTTCAATTTATTTTTTTTTTTTAATCCAGTCCACTTGCATCTGGTTATGGGCTGGATCCCTTGGATTACTAACGCCTGTGTTTTGTGTTGTAATTTATTTACAATTTTCTTGCTGCAATAATCTGGCCAAGGTACAAATTGCTGCCACTGATGTGTTTTGTGTGTTTTTGCCTCCAGCAACGTTTCTCTTTAAGCGCTACTAGCAAATTCATAGCAGCAAAGACTTGGTCCTCTGCATGTGATGGCTGGAAGATGCTGTGAATGTTCAAGCAGTCTTAAGCTATAGAGGTGTTGAGAATATTTCTGTATGGTGAACGAGTTATTGTGAATGTGTTTGCACCTCGTAGGCTAGACTGTTTTGTGCGTCCTGAGCAACATACTTAACTTTGGCAGCTGTGCTTTGCCTGGACAGGGGTGTGCTAAGGAGGTTCCTTGAATGGAGGTGTGGGAGGAATAAGCCAGTTTTCTGTAAGGAGACCCTGAAAAGGAGATGAAATTCCTCAAGCATGACAAGGGAGTAGAGTAGAAGTGGTGGAAATGTAAAAGGGAAAATTCTGCAAAGCCACTTCATGCTGAATAGGAAGGACAAAGACATGAACCTGCTTTTGTAGTAGGAATGGGAAATGACCTTGTAAACCTGAGTATCAGAGTGGGGACCAGGCAAGGCTAGAAGCAGGAAATTGAGCCCAGAGGAGTTTGCAATTCAGGGGACAAACTGTGAGACAAATAACTCCCATGTCCATTCCAGAGGGATGGATTCCTTTTAAAGATTTACATTTGGACAATGAAAAGAGAGCAAAGAAGGGACGCATGTAGGAGATGCAGAGTTTGTCTCAATTAAAATTCTTGTGCTACACAGAGTGTCACCTCATCAAAGCCTGTTTCTAGGTTTATTTTACCTGTAATGTGCCTGCAAAGTTGTACCCTTGAAAGTCATGTCAGAATTTCTAGGAGACAATGTGGAAGTCATGGGCATAGGGTGAGGTTAGCAGCAAGGCAAGCAGAGTGGGCAGTGGATCGTGACTACTAGTGTTTGTAGTGGGATGCCACAGAGAGTGGCTGCAGATCCCAGACCAAGGTTGGTTTGTGGCCATGAAACAGAGACACAGATAACAGCAGAATAACAGCCTGAGGAATCTCCAGCAGGGACAATCTGACCTCATCTTCCATGCTGGAGGTGCCCTGTGTCACAGCTGTATGGAAAGCAGGTAATAGATCAAGTGGGGAGTATTCCCTGAATTGCTGCATCTCTTCTGGGAGAGGAGTTCCCCAATGGGGAAGGACTCACAGGGGAGAGGGAAGGCAGCAGTACTACTGTGACAGCCACGTGCACCGTTTGAATGTCACTGGGCTTACTCTCCAGTGATTAGGAAGCAGAAGCTGCCAGATGTTGCTGTGGACAGACAAAGAGCCTGGCAAACAGGGCCAGATTGCCGTGTTCAGTGGTGGTGTGAGCTTTGCCAGCTTGGTGCCTTGCCACATCCTGGGACCTGCTTTGTGAGAGAAACCGCACTGCACACGAGCTGAGCTTGGCTGAGAGCACCGACCCAGCGTGCTGCAGGCTGTGTCTTGGCTTAGTTTGGGAGGGAGGAGACACCTGGCTCCTCGGAAAAGCTGAAAGTTAGTTGCTTTCAGTTAGGATGGAGGCAGGTGTGTTGGAAATGGGGCTGAGGTAGGCTACGATTGGGAGACTGATCTTTGTGATCAGCCCAGGGTTTTGCCCGGTGCAAATTTGGGATGTAGTCTTGCTGGATGAGAGACAGTGATAATAAACGCCTCAGCTGGGGCAGCACAGGGGTGTGTGTTTGGAAAGCACAAACCAAAGGAAGCTTTTGATTCCAGAGATGAATTGTCTTGGTTACGTGATTGTGAATATAAACTTTTTTTTTTACAATTAAATTACCCTGTATATAGGATTATGTGAAAGTGAAAATATTTGGAGGTATCACTTTAAAATAACATAAAGCCAACAGATTTTGTGGTTGGGTTTTTTTTGTGTATGTCTGTGTGCTGTCTTTGTTGGCGTGCGGGACTGGGAGGAGGTGTGTTGGTGTTAAAATAATTCACCAGAGAATTAATACTGCAACGCTATCTTTGGCTGCAGATCAAATGAGAAATTTAATACGTGCTTTAGAAATGTTGGATTATTCAAGTGAGGCAGTAATCGTAGCCAAACCATTTGAAACTGGTGTATACATCTGTGTAATCTATACGTTGCTACATCGACCTGTACATCTACACAGTAAAGGGCTAGTCCTAAGCTCTAGTATTCTTATGATACCCACTGCATGAAGTAAACTTCACTTCCACTTGGTTATCTGCCATGTTAGGTGGCACAGAAATGCTTTCCAGAGGTGTATGGACAGTCAGGGAGTTTCCATGGATAAGGCAGGCAGCTGTAACTTGTACCAGGAATATCTCTATCAGGAGTGCAAGGACTCCAGTTCCTCACCCTGAAACCTTTGTTCAGAGCATCTCTGGTGCTCTACACTGTGCTGAGGGAACAGATGGATGATTGCTTCTGGGAAGACCAAGAACTCCAAACTTGAGACCTCGAGCATGTTTAAAGCACGAATGTTAAAGGTAGGGTTTCCTGTTTTCTCTTCCTAGGTTGGTTTTGGGGAGTTACCATTTGACAGCACTGACAACTTTAACAGTTGTCCTGATGTGTGTTTCCGGGTGGCAGATTACAACTTTTTGTGCCATAAGGTATGTGTTTGTGCTGTACTTCATTCTCCTCGCTTTTTGCCACGAGTCTAGTCTACCTGCCTCCCCTACTCATCCAGTGCTGGATACACTCTGCAGAAGCAGCACTGCCTCATCAGCTGGCAAATCAAAAGTCTTACTGCAGCTGGAAACTATATTTAAAGCATTTAACAAAACAGCAAACCCAGCCTTTCTTGCAGAGGTGAGGAGATAAATTTATGGATTCAGCTACAGCATTCACAGCTGCAAAATCTCCTACTGCTGGCTTGTGAGTTCAGTGTCTGGAGAGGGGAATGTTTGATCTGCAGGTAAACAGCAGTAAGAATGGATTTTGAGATCCAACCTCAACTTATTCTCCTGCCTTAATGCCATGCTAATTATTTTTTTTTTTCTTGTTCTGAGGGTAGACATGAATAGAAATAAGGTGTGGAAAAATGTTGGAGCTGCAGCTTCAACATATAGGGAGAATCAGAGTTAGAGAGTCCAAACTTCGAAAATATATTTGAGCTGCTCTGACAGTTGGTTGGTAGTGCTGTTTGGTTTGGTGCAGTAAGAAAGATGCTAGTGTTTTGGTCTTTCTTCCCTCTCCAGGCATTTTTCTGTGGTCGCAGTGATTATTTCAAAGCCCTTCTTGAAGACCATTTCAGTGAGAGCGAGGAGCTGCAGACACAGCCCAGCATCCCTGTGGTGACTCTCCACAACATCTCAGAAGACATCTTCATCCGGGTCCTCTACTACATCTACAGTGATGATACAGAGGTGAGGTCAGCCATGGCGCCTTTCCTGCTGTGCTGCTTAACTCTGGAGGTGTTCACAGCAGTGTTTTCTTACAGCATATGGAGGGGACTGTGTGTGACTTCTTAAATCCCACTGCCCTACTCTGCTACCTCATTTCTGTCTCAGGAACCCACATACTGGGACTTGCTGTTAGCCAGGCAGGGATCTAGTTTATATGCATGGTGTTTGGGAAGCAAATCCCTAGTTTTTCATCCCATAACGAAAAATTTGGAAGTTAGGTTGCACGTTGTGTGTTGGCGTGATAAATGCAGGGCTTTGCTGACTTCCCTCTTGGACTCTGTGGAGGGATAAGGCGAGCAGCTGCCAGTAGATGGCAGATTGAACACATTTGGCGAAGTCCAAAGATTCGGCTTACTTACTCTTGGCATCATAGCCCAATTTTCCATTTGTAGCAGGTCGTTATTTCTACTGTTGTTTATTGCTGGGGTGGGCAAAGGTTCCACTGGGAGACCAACACCTTGCTGTGCTCAGTATCGCAAGCAGTAACAAAATGGCCTTAACCCTCCTAGTTTTCAGCCTAATGGAAGGTGCAGAAAATCCCAGCGTTTAAGCACCTTCCTGCTTCGGTTTTGTGGCAAATGCTTTCAGCAGGTCTAGCTATGAGGTGCCAGAACACATTCTGGCATTAGAGCAGTGATCAGAGATGCCGCTGCACCTGCCAGTGTCACTTCTCCCCAGCGGTATTTGTGCTCTGGGTTAGGTGCCACA